GCCTCAAGTTAAGTACCCCCATTGTAAGATTTATTTGGCACAGTGGGAGGCTAAGTAACTTGTCTTGGATCACACAGTCAGGATGTGTCAAAAGCTGGACTTGAATCCCAGCCCCTCCTGACACTGAAGTCTCGTTCTTTATCCATCATGCCTTCCTGCCCCTCCAGAACTGTCATTACAGTAGGTATTTAGTAGTTTAAATATCTGTTGGTTGATCAGTTGACAGGTGGCAAAGTAGGATAAATTACACACAGCCCTTCTCCCATCTCACCATCAACTGGGGCAGCCAGGAGGGATTAGAGAGAAAGGGGGTCCAAGGCTGACTAACAATTGGTTCTTACACTTAGAAGCAGGAGCAGGAAAGTCTTAACAATAACTGACATTTGTATATAGCACATTAAGGTTTGCAAAGTATGTTACATCTCTGATCCTATTCCTTCTCCACAATAAAAGGACTACGGGTCATAAGATCAAATCTCCAGAGTGGCAAGAGACCCTCAAATCTAAGACCTGTGATTTTATTGGCCAAGGAGGGAGAGCATTCCAGGCAAGAGAGATAGCCACTAAAAAATGCCCAGAGTCCAGAGATGGAGTGCCTTGCTCAAGGAACAGCCAGGAGCACAGATCCCTGTTCTTTTCCCTTAGCTCAACCCTGCTTAGGTTAATTATTAAACCAAATGATTCAGAACTCCTGTGGATGGTAATTCGGGTTGCCACCACTGCCAGTTTCTCCCAGACCTAACTTCTTTCTAGTCCTAGGTCAATGCATTCCCTGCCTAGCCTTCCAGATTTACCCCCAAACATCTCTCTCCAAGTTTTCCAAGTCCCATTCTCTCTTCTTTTCAATCTACTCTTTGGTCATTGATTAAGTGGCTCCTCTGGACCTGCGCCCTGCCTCCTCTTTGACCCAATATTTCTCTATAACCTTTTGTCATTGTTTGCATTGCATTATGTTGAGTTCTATCATATTGCTCAGTTTGGCTGCTACGTATTCACTTGCTAGTTGTCAGGGCTGCTGCTACCCTTTACTGATCCTTGGCTTTATCCATCATTCTATTCTGGAGTATGTCTGCCTCATGTCAGCTCATTCCAATAACCAGAAGCAGACTCCCACTGCCTCCCATTTAAAAACCAAAGGTGTATATTACACCAGCTTTTACGTTCCTGGTTTGTGTCTGAGAATGACACCAGTTCTCAGCACATTAGCAGCAAAGAGATGACCAAACCCTACGAATAATTGTGTCTTCTTTTTTAATGTTAGGTCCCCAATTCTGCCTCCTTTCTAGGTTCTCATCCCTAATAGGCATCTAGGGAGAGTTTTCCAGAATCTCATCATTACAGGTTGACGATATCAAAATTTCTTATTGGGCATGGTAACCTGAGACAATGTCTACCAAAAAAACAGAAAAAGATAATTAGCCCAGTGCTTGGAACATATTAGATACTTAGTAAATGCTCATCAATTGATTGATTCCCTCTTTGTAGTCAAAAATGGAAGATTCTCAACTGTCTGAAATTATTTCTGGAATGTATACAGTCTTTTAAGGTTGAAGCTTACAACGTGGATTATCTTATTTAACCCTGATAGCAAATCTGTGATATAGATACTTTGCACACAGTAAGTGCTTAATGAATGCTTCATTCATTCACTCGCACTATTAGTATAGTATACTATACTATGTACTAGAAGGGGTGGGGAGCCTATGGCCTTGAGGCCACGTGTGGCTAGTACTATAATATTCATCCATATTACTGTTATTACCTCCATTTTACAGAGGAAAGAACAGACCTAAAAGCTGTTAAGGTAACTCGACTAAGGCCATACAGCTAATACATAAGAGTCAGTGATGGGATTAGAACCTAGGTCTCAACCTACCCTAGGTCTAGATTTGTTCCACTCTATCCCGATGCTTTCCTGAAAGCAGGAGAATCATCTAGGATGAACTCTCAGAATCCTTTTACCACCATAACTGCATAGGTATGTCATTTCAAAAAAATCTAATATGAAAAGATCGAACTTACAAAAATATATATACAACATGTATATACACATATACGTGCATGCACATGATACATATATACATATATATATACACATATATAATATATTCTGGGGGGATTATTTACATTACAAGCGGTTCTTTACTTTTAAAAGGATTCCCTGCAGGAATTCTCCAAATTATAAGTTTTCCTAGTTATTTTAAAATTATTCGATTTATATGCAATTTTAAAATACCCAAGCAACTGAACAAAGCAAAAGACAGGCTTGCTGGCCCCTCAGAACCAACCCGAAACACCTCTCCCCGCCCTATTTTTTCAAGCTTCCTTTCTTCTTCCACATAATCCACTCTGTTTCTTTGTCTCTAGTCTGTGATCATTGTGTAGTACCCCTATTAATCTTGGACGAGATGAAGTCTCTGCAGCTTTAATTTGAAAAAAGAAATAGCTTTGCCTTTTACATTTGGCTTGACAGTATAAAATATTTACGATTCCTCTGGCACTTCTGCTTCTCCCTCCTTCCCATCGATTCCCTCAGTGGGCGATAAGTGCATGCTTTGAGGGAAGAACTTCCTGTCAGGTAGTGACAGGCCCAAGATGACAACATCTAGTTAATTCCAGCTGCTATGAGCCAATCAAATTACCGGTGAAAGCATCAGCCTCTTGCATGAGTCCTTTTTCATTGAATTGAATTGAACTGAATTTCTCATTCCCATTCAGCTGGCTTCTATTAGATCAATCCAAGGCTCCTTGCCCCCTTTTCTTCTCATTCATCTCCACCAGTTGTCTTTGGTTTACCTGCTGCGCTCACAGTCAAGGCACACTGTCGTCTCTGAGGCTTCCTTCTTTCAGGGACCATAGAGGGTCAGACTGATTGAGGGTTGTGATTAAGGGCATGGAAAGAGGAGTTGGGAGTAATCACATTTCCCCAGACGGCCATGATCTTTTTTTTTTTTAATTGCTCCAGGAACATGGGACAATCAAATTTTCAACCAGAAAAAAGCATCTATGTTTTCCTTGGGGGCTAGCAAATAGCTTTGCTCACTTCCCTGTTTATTCCCATTCATCCTCCTGGGTCTCTGAGCAGTAAAAGCCTGGAGTTATGCTGTGTGGTAATGGCAGGTGATCTGAATTAGCCATGGGTTACCATGGGACCCCAGTTTAGGGTGAAATGCAGAGACGGGCAGGAAGCTACAACCACAAGAGTCAGGGAATAGTGGAATCCAGGAGACAAGAGGCATGGTGTAGTGAGGAGAGAGAGCCACGAACAGCTGAGTACAGATCCCGATTCCAAATCCAGCATTTTTTATAGCTCCCAAATGAAACTTCCTAGATGAGTCCTCCTCCATTAGAAACCTAATCCTAGGGCATGGCCCATAGGGAAGGCATGTGGGAGCAAGTGAACCATATTAAGGAGATAGAAGATAAGCAAGTCTCCGTATCTTAATTCAGTCCATCTTGGAAGCAGATACCTGATATATAGTCTTTGATTCACACAATACTATCCTGTACTTCACTGTTTCCAAAATAATGTTGCTAGAAATGGCTGCCTTTGCTAGGTGGGAAGCAGTTAGGCCACCTTTGGTTATCAAGTTGGACTCTGAGAACCATGATGCTCTGTGTTGTACATAGCCCAGACTACAGCTTTTTTTTAAATTATGTGTGATCCCTCAGCTGACTTTGTCCTTAGGTTTATCCTGTGTTACCCACAACCTGGGGAAGCTAAGTTGAAGAATATAATTTGTAAGTGTGAAACCAATGATTCTCCCACGCCCTTTGCAGTATATCTAGGTCCTGATTAGTATAAATAATGAATCCCTTGAAATGGTTGCGTGTTTTTGAATTTGCAGTATTTGAAGTTATAATTATGTGAAATAGGGTCATTGGGTCCAACCCAAAGAAATTACAAAGTGAAAATTCAAATAATGAGACCACTTCAAGCGATTTCTTATTGGCCCTAGATTGTAACCAAAAGAAAGAGCTACCAGCTGTAAAGCTGACAATAAGGAACTCTTGACATATTTGTCTTTCCCAAGAAGGCTCTTGACTAAGCTTCCAGGTTTGGTGAGAAAGTACTAATTCAGTCATTCTAGAGTTGCTAGCCTGGTTAACGCTAGACTATTGATCGTGGTAGGATAGAGGGAAGAATCAAATTAGGAAACACTCAAGGCACCCTCAAAAAAGATGGGTCAGGAAGAGGAAAAGTATAGGAAGCATATAGGATGTATGTAGGAGGATGGGGGATGGATGGGAAAAGACACATCCTAGTTCCCTCTAGCCCTTCAAAAAAAAAAAAAGAACCAGGCAGTAAGTACCACACACACAAAAAAAAAATCCATCAGTGTGAACAAAGGTAATTTCATCATCAGAGCTAAAATCTTATATTGAGCTTACTATGTGTCAGATACCGTGCTCTTCACAAAAACCCTGCAAGATAGGCGCTATTATTATCTCCATTTTACAGAGGAGGGAACTGTGGCAAATAAGAGATTAAGTGACCTGCTCAGGGTCACACAACTAGGAAGTATCTGAGGTCACATTTGAACTCAGGTCTTCTTGACTCCAAGCCCAGTTGCTCTATCCATTCTACCACCTGCCTGCTGTGCTTCTCCTTTGTTTATTTGTTTGTTTTATAATTACTCTTTATTTTTAACATTTCATTTTTTGAGTTCCAAATCCCTCCTCCACCCACTGAGAAGGCAAGCAATATGATAGCAATTATATGTGTGAAGTCACGCAAAACATATTTCCATATTAACCATGTTGCCAAAAAGAAAAAAAAACAAGAAAAATAAAGAATGTACTTCTCCTTTGAATTCTCTTTCTGATACACATGCAGAGGAATAAAGCGGAAAAGTAGGAAGGGGCCAGGTTAGGAAGGGCTTGGCGATGTGGCCCCTTCCTACCTTCCAGGCTTCTTACGCTTCCTTTTCCTCCACATACTCTATAATCCAGATCCTGGCCTCCTTGCTCCTCACCTCAGACACTCCATCAAGACACACCTTGTACTTTTTCGCTGATTGTCCCACAAGGCTGGAAGGCTCTTCCTCCTCATCTTCATCTCCTGGCCTCTCTGGCTTCTTTCAAGTCACAGCTAAAATTCCACCTTCTGTATAAAATCTGTCCCCAGCCCTCTTAATACTAGTGCCTTCCCCCTGAGATGATCTACACTTTACCCTGTGTATATCCTGTTTGTACGGAGTCGTTTGCATGTCGTCTGCCTCATTAGATCGGAGTTCCTTGAAAGCAAGGGACTAGTCTTTTGCTTGTCTTTGAACCCTCTGCACATATCACAATAGGTGCCCAATCAGTGCTTATTAGCACTTAGCTAATAGGTGCCTAATTAGTGCTTATTGATTTAACCTGACTTATTAGTCTTCAAAACACTGTGTGTTTGGAGAGAGTCAAAAGTGTATTTGCTGCAGGTGAATGTTTGTGTTGTCTCGGGGATAGTTATAAAGAGAGAAAAGATGGTTAAGAAACGGAGGAAAGGCTCTATCTAGTAAATGAGGTCTAACATGAAGTAATGCAGGCCCCATTCTTTGTGACTCTTCTCCATAACTTCCTGTAAATTGGCCACAGAGGGTCCACTGAGTAGACCAAAAACCAGCCTCAATGCTCTTAACATTGTGTAGCTATCACAGAGCATTCAGCCTAACTGTTGCTTACATGACACACCCATCTTTAAACAACTCATGAATTACTTTGGGGTGGTGAGTAAGATAAGACAAAGAAATCCACAAGAATGAGCTCCAGGCCTCTTTGATGACCTGTTTGGATACAACTGGAAAACACAGAATCAGAATTTTAGAGCTGAGAGGAATATCAGGGAATCTGTTATTTTAACCATTAAATCCTCAAATAAAGTCTCCTCTTTCCCTAAATACCGGTAACCAGACCCATGGGTATCTAGGTGGCACAGTAGATAGAGTGCTGAACCTGGAGTCAGGTTGACTGTTCTTCATGAGTTCAAATCGCTCCTCAGACACCCTCATCTGTAAAAATGAGAAGGAAATGGCAAACTAGTATCCTTGCCAAGAAAACCCCAAATGGGTTCATGAAGAGTCAGGACTGAAAACGATTGAACAATAACAAAAAACAGATCCTCACCTTCCCTCTTAATGACAATACAAATGGTAATTAGTTATTCACTAGCTTATTCTTAATTGACTGTCAGAAATAATGAGGAATCTTATTTTGTTCTATAATAGGTCATTGATCCATTGGAAAAATAAACTGAGGGCCACCCACAAGTCAAATGCAAGGAGTTCATGGACAAGATTGTCATCAACAAAAAATCAGCAAATCAGGCCAATAGTCACAGTCATTCACTCAACTACAGATTTTAGCTGACATTGAGTTATGGCGGGGGAGGGGGTACAGTACCCATCACTATATCTTACAGCACTAGATTCAGAGTCAGAGGAACTGGAACTGGAAACCAGTACTACCTCTATTTATTACCTCTATGACCTTAGGCAAATTACTTGCCTTTCTGGGTCTCAGTTTTCTCATCTGTAAAATGGAGCAGCTGCCCTAGATGATCTCTTTTAAGCCTTTCCAGACTTAAATCTATGATCTTATAATCCTATTTGTTGAACAAATGAATGAAGGAGACCCTTTATCTGTTCTTCAGGGCTAGTGTCACAGCAAACACTGCAATATTCCCAAATGTTTATAAGAAACGAGTGCAAATTGTGGGGAATGCAGTACAAATTGCAGAAAATCAGTATAACAGCAACATGGGAAGTTGAATGGATCTGGGGGAAAGATATAAACCACAAGAAAGTCTCAATTAAAATAATAGAAATCAATGATTTTTAGTCAACAAGAATTTATTCAGTCAACAAGCATTTTATTCAGCACCTATTATACTCCAGGCACTTTACTAAATGCTGTATCTTTTTTTTTAAACAAAAATTCTTAAGACCTGAGTCAGGCTGGTTCTAGATAAAACTGGTAGGTTGGCAAAGTATCCTGTGTTGTCCCAATTTTCTCTACCACTCTTTGAACAATTAATCATATATTGACTTGTATTGTCAGTTGATTTTTCTTTTATCTACATATGGACATGCCAACAGGACCATACTCACTTTGAGGGCAGACGGTGCCTTATATTTCTGTGTCCCCTAAAACACTTAACAAGATGCTTTGCATATCAAATAACAGAGCAGGAGAGGAGCTTACCAATCATATGAAGAAATTGAGGCTGGGGGACTTAAGTTTCTCATCTGAGGTCATATAACAAAGTTTATGGAGTTATTAATCCATATTCAGCTTCCTTGCATTCTATCTTAATATTCCTTCTCCTCCCCACCCCCATTACCTCAGTGCCCTGAAGCTATCCCTGTCCAAGACATCTTTAAGACTTAGTTTTTCCTCTTTATCAACATTTCACCATTCTTTTTCCTGTCTCCCCGGGGTCTTACTCTGCTACTTAAATATATCATTTGATCTATTACTATCAGATGGGGAGGAGTTTTACAGCAGCCTTCAAGAGAAGGGTGACAAAATTTGGAGAATTTTAGACAAACCAGCAAGAGAGATTTCTGGAGAGACAAACCCTCCAGTTAGACTATCCGTTGAGATATTTACCGAGTATCTGTTTACAAGGTCAGCACTGTACTAGGCACGGTGAGAGAATGGATAAGAAATAGAAGCCCAGAGCTTGGGGCTAAATCCTCCTCATTCATGGGAGAGCAGTCAAACTAACAGTGGGGCTTATTTCAATCACGAAGGTATTTGGGAATGGGGAGGTGGCTGGTTTGGGGTTGCTGGGTTCATTTTGTATGTGTTTTGCTTCTCAAATCTAGCTGAGGAGAATAACAGAAATGATTAAATGTCACGTTGGCTAAGCTGGTGCATTCCCATGAAAGCTCATAAAAAAGTCCCCTTCTCAAATGTCTGTCCAACTGAAATGGGGCCATTTTGCATCAACCTGGTGGATTTGGAGAATTGCATGGAGTATTAGGTGTGCAGTTCCCCAGGAGGCTGACAGGGGCTCTGGTGTGACCAGGCCGTTCAAGCTCTGTTCTGCCTTGCCGGAAAGAGCCTTGCAAATAAAGTTATTTAAGCAGCTCCATTTGCCCAACTAATGTCAGCATGTTATTATATGAGTATGTGTTACACTCGGCTATGTTGGCACTTTCCCCATCTGTTTACATTTAAAAGAGTACTCACTGCCAAGGATTAGGAATCCCAGTGCCCATGATCCAGACAAGCACAAGGCTAAGAGGAAAGAAAAGATAACAAACTAAAACAATAATATTTGTTGCAAGCAACCTGAAAAAAAAAACACCTCCCTTATGTCTTCAGGACCAGAATTCCCAGGAGTCTTCAACTCCAGACTTGTTTTTGTTTCCAGAGGGTTATAGAAATGTAAGAGCTTGAACAGACTCCCACTGGTCATCTAGCCCTCTGGAGAAGAAATTCTGCAACCTCCCTTGTGAACCACTTCCTTTCTCATTTATTCATTCATTCATTCATTTTTATTCATTTGCATAAATGTCATTCATATTCATAAATATTCATTTAAATTACTATTTTTTTTACAATCCCTATAGTCAGGAAATTCATCTTATAGGAAAGTTAATTTCTTCTTCAATACAAGCCCATCATTTTATGTATTGGTCTTAGTAGAAAGGGAAATAGCCAGTCTCCATTCTCTGCCCATATACTTGATGTCGATTACAAAGTTGTATCTCAACTTCCTCTTCTTTGGAGACAAATAATTGGAACTCCTCTCTTCTTTCTCTGAAGATCCTGCTTTCATCCATCATTTTACTTTATACTCTTCATCCTTGAAAAACAGATGCTACTCCCCTTTGGGGAGATACATGCTGTATTCATGAGTCAGAGTCTTAGATATAAACAATAATTTACATAGCTCTCAGGGTTTTAGGATTTAGAGCCAAAAGGGACATCAAGTCATCTAATCTAATCCCCTTATTTTGTAATTGAGGAAACTGAGGCTCAGAGAGACTAAATTCTTTCCCCAAAGTCAAACAGTTAGTAAGTAGCCGAGCCAATAGTCAAATACCACGATATCATTCACAAGACCTTTGCAGACATTATCTCATTTGACCCTCTCAACAACCCTGTGAGATAGCCAAGGCAGGTATTATTACTCCCTGTTTAATTATAGATGAGGACTCTGAGGCCCAGTGTGGCCGAAGGACTCCTTACCCAAGATCTCATATCCATTTAGGGTAAGTCAAGAGCAATGAGTCCTAATCTATCACTTCCATCATCACTGCTGCCATGCACAATCAAGTGGTTCATATCAGACTCCATCCTGGTATCTCCATCCTGAAGGGAGATGTTTTAGCTTCTGCAGCTACTAAATTTCTTTCAGTCTTTTAATAAAACTTAAATATACAATAAGAAAAAAAACACTTTTTTTTTTAAAGAGGCAATCAGGGTTAAGTGACTTGCCCAGGATCACACAGCTAGTAAGTGTCGGAGGCCAAATTTGAACTCAGGTCCTCCTGACTCCAAGGCCAGTGCTCTATCCACTGTGTCACCTAGCTGCCCCTCACACAGTCTTAAGGTGCCACCTCCTCCATGGCATCTTCCCCATCGCACTCAACTGAAAGCTATCATTCCTTCTTCAAAGTTTCTTACAGAACCTTACTTGGATTTCTCCTTATTCCATTCAATCTTAGTTGTGTCCATGCTGTGGCCCCTGTAGGAGACTGTCAGTTTCTTGATTGTGATTTTCATCTTTCTTTTCAGCCCTAGAATCTAAAAATAGGCACTGGCCAGTGATTTCTTTGGTGTCAGAAACACCCTCAGAAACTCTCTTTACTAAAGCAAATCATCAACTCTTTTACAATTTGTACTTTTGGAGGAGTTCTTAACCTATGGTATGCGAACTTGTCTTTTTAAATATTTTGATAACTCTATTTCAACTAATTAGTTTGCTTTATAATCTTATGTATTTTATTTTATGTATTTTATAACACTACTTTGAGAAAAGGTCCATAGGCTTCAGACTTTGACATATACAAAAATTTAAGAGCCTTTGTTTTAGAGTGTTGCCTCAGGGCACTGAAAGGTTAAGGGGTATGTGTGTACACATACATACCTATACAAA